GGTGGGGGGCTGCAGGTGATTTCCTGGGGCGAGTGTGAGCAGAGCTCCCCGCTGCTGGGGGGCTGCGGTTGGCAGGGGGCCCAGGGCGTGTTGGCTTCACACCCTCCTCCCTGGGCGCCTGCCTGCGTCAGGAAGGAGCTGGGGGGGGGGGGGCTGGGCGGAGACACTGGTCTCCCCAGGGTAGCTTCCCTGCCTGGCACTGAGTCCTGCCCGCCCATTTACCCTCCCCAGGGAGGAAGTTGCAGGGCGGGTGGTGGTGGGGACTCCAGCTGCTCTCGGGAAGCCACCTCAGGCCCTTCCTGCAAAGGCTGTCTTGGGGCAGGGGGGCCGGGCAGGCTGGGCCTCAGGGTGGGGGCTTTGCCCTGCCCTCCTCCCTGCCCCCCTCCCCACGGGCCCCAAGCAGAGAAGGTTACGCCAGCCACTGCCAGCGGAGAGCCAGGAGGGAGAGCTGGGAGGCGGTCGGTTCTGAGTCATCCCAGCCTATGTCACTTCTCAGAAACCTCCACCCCCCCCCATCCCGGCCCCTGGGGAGAGTAGGGCTCTGGCCCTGACCCAGAGCAGGGGGCTTGGTGAGGACAGGGTCAGATCCAACCCACACCCACCCTGAACGGGGGCAGATTGAGGGTTTCTGTGCTTGGGGCAGGTTGTGCCCTCTGGGACTCCAGCCCCAGGGCGGTCAGGGCCCCTTCCTGCAGCCTTGCCGCCGCCCCCTCGGCCTTCGCCCCGCCCAGGACAGATAAATATTTATCTTGAGAAAGCAAAGGTTAGGACAGAAGAATTCGTCCAGGAATTCCACCCACTTGCTGGCCTTAGTGACATAGCTGGGAGGGGGCCTGAGATGGAGCCCCTCCCGTATCCACAGGCAGAGAGGATCTAGGGGCCCATGAGGGTGGGGGAAACGCAAAGTGAAGGTTTGAGGTCAGCGACTGCCAGCTGGGCCCCGCCCCCTCTGGCCTCAGTTTCCCCTTGTAAGAACTGACCGAGTTGGCCAGGGAGGGGCAGGCCCCCGTCTGACCCGCCTCTGTCCCCACAGCCCCCAGCGGCGCCCGGGCCGGGCCGGGCTGGCGGAGGAGGCTTCCGGAAATACAGATTCATTTTATTTAAGCGTCCGTGGCACCGACAGGGACCCCAGAGCCCAGAGAGGGGCGGCGAGAGGCCCCAGGTCACAGCGCGGGGGGACTGGGCCGGGCTGGGCTGGGGGCGCCACAGGCTGAGACTCCCAGCTGATGGACCGCTCTCCTTGCAGGTCAGTGACTTCCTGTCGGGCCGCTCGCCACTGACACTGGCCTTGCGTGTGGGCGACCACATGATGTTCGTACAGCTGCAGCTCGCGGCCCAGCACGCTCCACTGCAACACCGCCATGTGCTGGCCGCCGCCGCCGCCGCCGCCGCCGCTGCACGGGGGGACCCAAGCATAGCCTCCCCCGTGTCCTCACCCTGCCGGCCCATGTCCAGTGCCGCCCGAGTCCCCCCGGTGCCCACGAGCCCCTCCCCTGCGTCTCCCTCGCCCATCACAGCCGGCTCTTTCCGGTCCCACGCAGCCTCCACCACCTGCCCAGAGGTGAGCCTGGGGAAGGGAAGGGTGACCCTTGGTTGGAATCCAAAGGGTGGGTTGTCCTGGGGAGGGCTTGGAGAGGACAAGTGCTCTTAGCCCCAGGTGAGTCCCTTGTATTTAAGGGCTATCCTGTGACCTCGGGCTGGTAGGTGATCCCCCAGCCTAGATCGGTGGGCTGTCTCTGGATCCTGAGTTGGTGGGTCATTTCCTGACCTGACCTGGACCAGTGGATGATCTCCTGACCTTTGATTCATGGGTCATCTCTATGCCCTGGGTTGGTTGTGACCTCCTGACCCTGGGCTAGTTTATCTCTAGACCATGCTTTGATGGATCATCTCCTGACCTGGGCTGGTGGGTGATCTCTGGGCCCTGGGTTGGTGGGTGATTCCCTGAGCCTAGATTGGTGGGCTGTCTCTAGACCCTGGGTTGGTGGTGATCCCCTGAGCCTGGACCCCGTGCTCACATGCCCCTTCCTCTTGTCAGCAGATGGACTGCTCCCCCACGGCCAGCAGCAGTGCCAGTCCTGGTGCCAGCACCGCGTCTACCCCAGGGGCCAGCCCTGCCCCCCGCTCCCGAAAACCCGGTGCCGTCATCGAGAGCTTCGTGAATCACGCCCCAGGGGTCTTCTCAGGGACCTTCTCCGGTAGGTGTCACAGCACATGCATGACCTCACGTGTGTCCCGTGACCCTGTGTACTTGGGGTCCACATCCACTCACAGGTGGCTCCACACATTCTGGGCATGCACAGGCTGTGTCCGTTTGCTCCCTTCACATGTCCCCCAGGAATCCCCACACACAAGCCTGGCCTTGCCCCGGAGGCCGCGGGTCACCAGGTGCCCACATACTGGGGACGTGTCCCGCTCCTGCCCTGTGGTCCCTCGTGCATATCAGCCCACATGCCCACCCTGCTGTCTGAGCTCATGAGCTCACACCCCTGGATGCCCGTCCTAGACGTATGGGACTGTGCGCATGCCGGGCGCTCACGGCCACCTCTGCCCGCAGGCACGCTACACCCCAACTGCCAAGACAGCAGCGGGCGGCCACGGCGTGACATCGGCACCATCCTGCAGATCCTCAATGACCTCCTGAGCGCCACCCGGCACTACCAGGGCATGCCCCCCTCGCTGGCCCAGCTCCGCTGCCACGCCCAGTGCTCCCCGGCTTCGCCGGCCCCCGACCTGGCCCCCAGAACTACCTCCTGCGAGAAGCTCGCGGCTGCCCCCGCAGCCTCCCTGCTGCAGGGCCAGAGCCAGATCCGCATGTGCAAGCCTCCGGGTGAGTGGCCGCCCTCGGGTGTCCCGCCTTCCCCGCCCGCCCGGGCTTCTCAAGGCCCCTCTGTGTGAGCCGGTGGGCACCGGAGCAGCTGACCTGCCCAGGGCCGGGGGGGACGGCAGCTGTCGTGGCCACTGCTCTGCTCCAGCTTGGAGAGAAGGCAGCATGTGTGTCGGGGCACAAAGTGTCCTTGTGTGTTCCCGGGGTGCCCCAGGCCCACTTCCTCCTGGCCCCCCCGGGGCACCATCTCCAGATGGCATTTGGAGCCTCTGTGAATGGCCAAGTCAGTCCTGGCAGGCCAAGGCGGGGCCAGAGCCCACCCCTAAGCATTTCAGTGACTTGGAAAAGCAAGGAACCCCCCCCAGCTCCCCGCTACTCCCAAACGGCGGGTTACTCCCCTCCGGAGTCTCACGGGAGGATGGCCACTGTACTGCCCTTGGGCTCTGCACCCATTGCGGGGGCTCCTCCCAGCTCAGTTTAAAAGCGGGAAACCGGGCGGGCACAGTGGCTCACACCTGTAATCCCAGCACTTTTGGGAGGCCAAGGCAGGCGGATCACCTGAGGTCAGGAGATCGAGACCATCCTGGCTAACATAGTGTGAAACTCCATCTCTACTAAAAATACAAAAAATTAGCCGGGCCTGGTGGCGGGCACCTGTAGTCTCAGCTACTCGGGAGGCTGAGGCAGGAGAATGGCGTGAACCCGGGAGGCGGAGGTTGCAGTGAGCTGAGATGGCGCCACTGCCCTCCAGCCTGGGCGACTGAGCGAGACTCCGTCTCAAAAAAAAAATAATAATAATATAAAGGTACAACCCCCAAGTGTCTCCCCTCGGATCACAGAGGCGGCCAAGCCCCCTCCATGTAGGATTCCCGGAAGAATGAAGCAGGACAGTCCTGACCTCCCCAGCTCACGGTTGAGCTAGAGAATTAGATGCCAGCTGCGTAGCTGGGACTCCAGGCAAACACCACCATGCCCAACTAATTTTGTAATTTTTGTAGAGGAGGGGTCTGGCTTTGTGGCCCAGGCCCGTCTCAACTCCTGAGCTCAAGCAATCCTCCTGCCCGGCATGGTGGACGCCCTTGACCGTTTCCTTTGCTGGCACAAGTCTCCAGGGAGGGCAGGACTGTGCCTGACCTCAGGGGCATTTGCTGGGGTCTGGGGTGGTCCTCTGTGTTCAGCGGATGGAGGCTTTGGGAGTCACAGGCCACTACCTCCTTTGCAGGGGACCGGCTTCGGCAGACGGAAAACCGCGCCACACGCTGCAAGGTAGAACGGCTGCAGCTGCTCCTGCAGCAGAAACGGCTGCGTAGAAAGGCCCGGCGGGACGCGCGGGGTCCGTACCACTGGTCACCCAGCCGCAAGGCCGGCCGCAGCGACAGCAGTAGCAGCGGGGGCGGTGGCAGCTCCAGCGAGGCCTCCGGCCTGGGCCTCGACTTCGAGGACTCCGTGTGGAAGCCAGAAGTCAACCCTGACATCAAGTCAGAGTTCGTGGTGGCTTAGGATCTTCGGATCGGCCACCCTTGCCCCTCGAACCCCAGCCCAGGGCGGCGGGGACTCGGAGAGCCCCGGAGAGAGTGTGGTCCAGCTCTGGAGGGCAGGCGGCCACTCCCCCCAGCCACAAGCCTTTTTTTTTTCCTTCTTTTTTATTATTTTTTTCTTTTTTTAAAAAGTTCAGACTGTGGTTTCCTGGACTCTTCATGGGCTTTGCTTCCTACCTCCTTCACCCTCCACTCCTGCCCTCCTCTTCCTCCTTCACTTCCTCCTCCTCCTCCTCCTCCTCCTCCTCC